TAACACTTACCCTCATTTTATACTTTTATTAAAACACATATTGTGATTTAAAAATTAATTTCCTTTACCGACACTTACTGTCTCGAAAGAGAGTTAAAATACATTAAATTGTCGATGTAATTTTCATTTGTCACCACTTACCGTCATTGTTTTGTTCCTATTAAAGCACTTACCGTAATTTAAAATTGACTGACACTTACCGTCTGTAGGATTAGTGTCAGTAAACTTTGAATAAGAACAATTCTTAATATGTACTTTTCTATTTGGTAACACTTACAATTGTTGTCTTGTTCTTTTGAAACACTTACCGTGATTCAAAAATTAATTACTTTTGCCGGCACTTACCGTCGCCTAATGAGTTAAAATACATTAAATTCGTAATGCTCTTTTCATTTAGTAGCAATTGCTGTCGATTTTTTGTTTTAAAACACTTCCCCTGACTAAACGGTAAGTTCCTACGTCTGCACTTACCGTTTCGAAAATAGTAATTTGATTAAAGAAAAATTTTCTATTATTCTTTATTTGTAGTTGGTAAATGACTATATAATAGAATACTCCGAATATTTATCGCATTGTTTCAATGTAATTTTTATTTACACTGGTTGTTGAGAAATGATAAATTACATTTTCTCCATTGAAATTCTACCTTTTACACAGTACACGGAAAAACCTTTGAGAAGTCTGTCTTCCCACTGTCACAAAATTTCGCTTCTCACTGCATGGAAAGTCTGATCGCCCGCCACTGGGTGCGTAGCATTACCGTTTTCGATAGACAAACTTCCCAAAAAGTTTAGAAAATTACAACTGGGTACGTTGGTCACCCAGTTTGGGAGTGCAGATGAACAAGTTTAGTGGTGGCGCTGACGCATAAGTTTCGGGTGAGCAGACTGCTTAAAGGTTTTTCCGTGTAGAGTATAAAATGACTTTGAAGCTACCGTCGTCGATAGAGGGTAGCTCCAATTTTCCACGTCCCACTGTAAAAAAATGCCTCTCCTTTGGCAAGTACCAATGCAAATTTACAAGATGTCGTTTTCGTTGCCGGGAAATCGGCACGATGAATTCGAGTGCCTTTCATGGCTTTACCTGGGTTTCTTTCTATAATCCGGAGGGTCGCGAAATAAATCCACGGCGCGTGTCTGCGTTCCCTTACACCAGTGTGCTTGCGAAGAAGAAAAAACAAACTCTACATAGACACAACGTATAGTTGATGAAAAAGTGTGTGTCTCGAGTCTATGTCTGGGACTTGGTTTTGCCCACCGTATCACGCAAGAGAGTAAGAGAGAGAGAGAGAGAGAGAGAGAGAGAGAGAGAGAGAGAGAGAGAGAGAGAGAGAGAGAGAGAGAGAGAGAGAGAGAGGGAAAAGTGATTCGAGACTCCTGCGATCAATAGCGACGATATCATCCCTATTTTCCGCACACATCTTCAAAAATATACTCGTGCACACATGTACACACAGTATTTCTCATAAGTAAGAGTAGGTTCTCCTCTGGCCGGAAACGTACTTGGCATCTTCAGCAAGAAATAAATTTATAGCTTTCAAAAATGTCAGAACTCGTGATTATCCATGCAAAATCAAATTGACAGCCGAGTCTAACAAGAATCAGAAATAGTGCATTTTTCATATATTTCTATATGTACCAAATCGATAGAAGTTGAATTGATATTGACGTTTTAATTTACTGCAAGAGATCCATTTTGATAAATCGAATATTAATCGAAATTAAATTGTGAATCTGTGTTTTGTTATGTATTTCCATTTCCTCTAATATTAGGTATCTTTTAGAATTTATTGTCACTTGTTTCACTTACCGTCGACGGTATTTTTTTAAGTAGTGGAAATTTTTAAAAACAGTATTGATTAAGTGACTAAATTTGAATAAGTGGAGTTGCACTTATTTAAAAGTAGCACTTACCGTTAGAGTAAGCTTCTGCTTTGCCCAGTACATATTTACCGTCTACAGAATTTTTAAATTGTGGAAAATATATTTTGAAGTTTAAGATTTTTGACGACTTGTATGTTAATTTTTTATTCATTGGGATTGTGAGAGTAATAGAACAGGTGAAACATACCGTCAACTAAGTTTCTATTTTTTGGTCACTTACTGTCTGCACTTACCGTATCAGCACTTGTTCACTTACCATCAGATGTAGTTTCCATTTTCTTAGGACTTTACTCAATATAAATAAATTAATATTTCTACGGTAAGTGCTAAAAATGAAAACTACTACTGACGGTAAGACAATAAGTGCTGATTCAGTTTATATTTCTTTACTTCTTTACTTACAGTTGTTCAGTAAGTGCTAAAAAAAATTGAAACTACTACTGGCGTTAAGTCAATAAGTGTTAACGGTAAATTTTTGTAAATCATGTAGTTTTAATTTAAATTTAAAGATTTAAACTAAATTAAAACTGGATTTCAATTTAAAATTTTCAATTTCAAACATATTATCATCTATATTAATATAGCAAAAAAGGGAAAAAACTTTAGAAAGCACTTGAAGATTTATTTAGAAGCACAAAAAGAAATTGTAAAACTCCTGTAAAGAGACATTCGACAACTTCTAAATTCTTTCTTAGACTCCTTTTGAAAAGTTTTTAGAAACTTTTTCGAGAATTTTCTAAAACCTTTTGGAATTTTTTTTTAAAAAGTTCTCTTCGGAGGCATTTTGGAACGCGAAGAAAAATATTGTTTCTCATTCGATTCTCTCAGATTTTTTTTATCCGACTTTTTTAATTTTATATTTTTTCATTTTTAAAAGTAAATGTACTAGCTCTAAATTTGAATCTATAAAAAAAATTTCTAATTTTAATTATTGAATTATTCACTGGAATTCAATTTTTTACAAAATTTTTGATAAATTTCTTTGAAATAAGTCAATTATTTTCATAAATAATAAAATTTTCACAGAAATTCAATTATTTAAAATCCAAAATTTTATAAAATTTTTAGAAAAATATCAATTACTTAAAAAGATTTTTATAAATTTCATCGCAAAAATTCAATTATTTAAAAAAAATTTAACAAAGTTCTTTTCAAGAATTCAATTATTTTTTTTAAATAATTAAATTCTTCACTGAAATTCAATTGTTTTATATAAATAATAAAATTCTTTACCAAAATTCAATTATTTTTATAAATTTGAATAGAATTCGTTGCAAAAATTAAATTATTTTTAAAAGTAATAAAATTCTTCGCAGAATTTCAATTATGTTCAAAAGTTAAAAAAAATTGTCAAAATTTCAAATATCTTTATAAATAATAAAATTCTTCTCCGAAATTCAATTATTTTAGAAAAATTTTAATAAAATTCTTGGGAAAATTTTAATTATTTTCACAAAAAATAAAAAAACTCATCGCAGGATTTTAATTATTTTTGATACAATATTTTAATCAAATTCCTCGAAAAATGTAATTATTCTTAAAATTTTTTTAAAAATTTGTCAAAAGAATTCAATTATTTAAAAATTTGTTGATAAAATTTTTTATGAGAATTCAATTATTTAATAAATTATTTAATTTTTACTTTAAATAATTGAATTCTTCTAGATTTTTCAAATAAAAATTGATTTAAAAATGAATTACAGAATAATCGATTTATTATTTATGAAAATAATTGAATTCTTGCAACGAATTTTATTACATTTTTTTTAAATAATTGAATTTTTTTGAGAAATTTTACTACTTGTAAAAATAATTGAATTCTTGCGAAGAATTCAATTAATTATTAGAATTATTACTTTGTTAATATTATTTATTATTAATAGGTATATTATTATTTTAAAATATTATTAATTACTAATATTATTTAAATTAATTAAAAAGAAAAAATTGCCTCTCAATCACAGATAACTTTATTAATACAGAATTTAAAAAACAAATTTTTGTGAAAAAAAAAACAGAATTTTTCATAAAAGTTTTATACAAAATCAAAGCGCGGTTGACGTAAAAATGAAAAAAAAATAAAATAAAGTTTGAAGATTGCAAGTTTGAAAATCGTGTCAATCCAATTTCAATTAAAATAACACCGAATTGGATTAAAAGGAAAAACGAAAAGTTTTACGTAAACAAACACTCTAAATCCAGAGGAGTTAAAACTAAAACTACTGAGTTACTGAAGTCATAGACAGTGGATATGTTGACGTCAAAATAGTTAACTGACTACTGAGTTTGAAGGCTTGTGCGGTCAAACTACGAAACTCTAATCGCATTGAATTGGTGATCGCATTTTCCCTATAAACAAACCTTCAGCCAATCCTTTAGTCTCCCATCATCTTCACTACTTAAAGGATATAAAACTGACACACAAGTCGCTTTCAATATTCAATTATAGTCATTGTTATTACTTGAGATTTAATAATAATAATTTCATTGGAAAAACAAAATCAATTTAATCGGTAATGTAAACATTTATATAATTTCATTATAACTCAATTATAATAATTAATAATAATTGTAATAATTAATTATACAATATAAAGTCTCACTGGTCGATATTAAATTTAATAACATTTCTTTATTAGAAAAATTACATTGAATTTTATTAAATACAGTCGTCTCTATTATTAATGAATTTAATTAATTTAATTAACTGGCCAATTAGCATTTATTACTTCTCCGTATATTTAATTGGAAAGAGAATATCGATACGCTGTGCATTAACAGTCTAATCTCAACATTTTCGGTAATAATCACAATCGAAATATCAATTCTCTAAAAAAAAATTTTAATTCAGTGAAAAGTCATTCGTTAATTAATCATAGCTGATAGTTTATTAAAAAACTTTCTGGGGAAAAATACAAAATTTTTCCCGGCAATCACTTATGGAAGTTTTTCGAAAACCCACATGGATTATAGTGGATTAATTTATAATTAATTATAATTATTTGTAATAATTATAAAAATAATTTTTTTCATTAAAAATATTTTAAGGTTGAACTTTTTTTTTTTTTTGAAAATTGCAAATAATTTATAAAGTTATGTTTGTGTTTCTGATTACAGGGACTATTTTCGAGAATAACATTCAGAGAACCGCTTTTCGTCGGTGGTCCAGGAAACACAACTGGTCTGGAGAGACTTCCGGTCAGAAATGGCTTCAGAGGTTGCATCCGACACCTGGAGGCCAACGAACATCGTTATCGTTTCCCACTCGCCCCTCGGGGAGATGCTGCAAATGGCTTTGACGTCGGTTAGTATATCGATCATTTCACTGGAATAAATCATTCAACATTTCCAATTCACTCTATTCTCTCTCTCTCTCTTTCTCTCGCTCTGTTTCGATATTTCTCTCTTTTTCTCTCTCTCTCTGTCTGTCTGACATTTTTCTGATGGGTTGAAATTTATTAAAAAATTATCATTTCCGTTTTCTTTTATTTTTTTTTAATTATAGAGAAAGAAGAGGTTTTTATTCTATTTTTTTCATTTTGTCTACAAGTTCGAACAGAAGAATATTTTTGCCAGTAGAAATTTATTAGAAAAAAAAAATTGATAAAATTCATCCAATATTCAATTATTTTTCTAAATAATAAAATTTCTACAGAAATTCAATTAATTTAGAATAGCATTTTGAAAAAAAATTTCGATACAATAAATTATTTAACAAAATTTTTATACATTTCTTCACAATAATTCAAATACTTTCACTAATAATAACATTTTTCATGGAAATTCAATTTTATTAAAAATTTTTTGATAAAATTCTAACCAAAAATTCAATTATTTTCATAAATAATAAAACTCATCGAAGAATTTCAATTATTTTTAATTAATTAATCTAAACATTCAATTATTTTCACAAATAAAGTTTTCCACAAGAATTCAATTATTTAAAATAAAATTCTCAATAATATTTATTATATTTCCGAAAAATTAATTATTTAAAACAATGTTTATAAAATTCTTAAGATAAATTCAATTATTTTGAAAAATAACAAAATTTTTTACAAAAAATCAATTTTTTCTAAACATTTTAATAAAATTTTTATCAACAATTCAATTATTTTCATAAATAATAAAATTATTCTCAGGGATTCAATTATTTTTGACAGTTTTAATAAAATTCATATCAACTATTCAATTATTTTCATAAATAATAAAATTTATCGCAGGATTTCAATTATTTTTTAATGAAATTTCAGTTTTTTTAAAATTCTTTGAAATAATCGAATTATTCACAAAAATATTAGAATTTTTCACAGAAATTCAATTATTTTTAAAAATTTTAATAAAATTGTTTGAAAGGAATCAATTATTTAAAATACAATTTAAATTGAATTTTTTTGAAATAATTCAATTATTCTTTTAGATTTTAATAAAATCCTTCCCAAGAATTCAATTATTTACATCATAAATAATTCTTTAAAAGAATTCAATTATTCAATAAATAAAAAAAATTATTCCCGAAAATTCAATTATTTTGAGGAATTTTAATAAAATTCTTTGCAAAATTCGATTATTTTCATAAATAACAATATTCGTCACAAAAATTCAATTATTTAAAAAAATTCTAATAAAATCGTTCGCAAGAATTCAATTATTTTCTTACATAAATAATAAAATTCATCGCAGGATTTCAATTATTTTTAATACAGTTTTACAGGAATTGCTAAAAAAAATTTAATTTCAATTTCTCGAAAAAATTAATTATTTAAAAAAATGTTTTTTTTTAAATTCTTTGGAAGAATTTAATTATTTACAAAAATATTAGAATTTCGCACAAGAATTAAATTATTTTCAAAAATTTTAATAAAATTGTTTTAAAAAAATCAATTATTTTGAATAGAATTTTAATTAAATTTTTTTTTGAAATAATTAAATTATTCTTTTAGATTTTAATAAAATTCTTCCAAAGAATTCAATTATTTTAAGGCATTTTAATTAAATTGTTTGCAAAATTCAATTATTTTCATAAATTACAATATTCATCACAAGAATTCAATTGTTTTTAAAAGTATTAGATTTCTTCTGGGAAATTCAATTATTTAAAAAAATTGTAATAAAATTGTTTGCAATAATTGAATTTTTTATTATTTTCATAAATAATAAAATGCTCTTTAGGAATTCAATTATTTTAAAAAAAATTAATAAAATGCCACACAGGCATTCAATTATTCTCAAAAATTTTAATAGAATTCTTTGTAAAATTTAATTATTTTTAAAACCTTTTCGCAATTCAATGATTTTCAATATCTTTTATTTTCATAAAATTTACAAACAGAATTCAATTATTTAAGAAAAAAATTTGTGGAAATTTTCGTAAAAATTCAACTCTTTTCATGAATAATAATGATTTCTCAGGAATTTAATTATTCAAATTAGAATTTGCATAAAATTAGTCGAAAGAAATGAATTATTTAAAAGTTTTTATAAAATTCTTCACAAGAATTAAATTATTTTGATAAATATTTAAATTCTTTTATGAATAATAAAATTCGTTGCAGGAATTCAATTTATTAGCATCAGGATAAGAAAGAAGTAATAATATTTTTGATGAAAATTGGGAAAAAGTTGGGAAAATAAAAGATAGAATGTAATTTTTGTCAGTTTTGTAAAGTTTCTAAAACGAGTTTTTTTCTCGTCGAGTTGAATTTTTCGATAGCTACTTTTTTACTGCTTTTTTTTAGTTTGAAAGCTACTTTTTTAAAATTAATTATCGAGTGCGAAGTCTATTTTTAAATTAATAATTTTTACATTTATAAATTCTCGAGTGAATAAATTTATAACTCAAAAGGATGATTCTAAAAATAATATATATCGGCTTACTATTATTATGATTATTTTTAAATGTATGCGTTAAGAGAAGAAAAAAAAAGAATTGATATCAGTTTATAATTGTGAATTGGTCTGAAAAGTGGAATTGTGGTTTAAAATGCTGTCAACATAATTCATATTGCAAAATGATAATAGCGGCAATGGAATTATCTTGTTTTCAAATGTGATAGCGCACTTATGGTGCTATTTTCATGTTCCATGAAAATCATGAAATTTGTCAGTATTGTGGAAGTATGTAACTTTGCCATTATCAGTAAGTGTAATAAGCTCAGTGAGAATAATACTAAAAACATAGCAAGAACAAGAGAATTAACAATTATTATCATTATTAATCCAAAAAACACAATTTTGCAATAATTCCCGCAATTTAGATGTTATCAAACATTTATTTTCTATTGTTTTTAATATAATTAGTTATTATCAATTAATTAATTAATTAGCTAATTAATTAATTAATTAATTAATTAATTAATTAAATTAAATAATTTATCATTCTAATAAGTTATTCAGTATTATAACTAATTGTTGCCTTATTATTTATTACTGTATTTAGTTAGGTATTTAATTATTTTCAAATTTTTCGATAAAATTCTTTGCAAGAATTAAATGATTTTTCATACCATAATTTTAAATTTGAAAATATTTAAAAAGAAAAATTATTAAATTTACTTTTTATTTATTCGCTATTTTATTGTTTACTTTCTTTTTAATTATCGTTGTAATTTTATTTAAAATCTAAATTATTATTAAATATTATTAATTATTAATTATTAACGAATTAATTATTTCACTATTTATCTTCATTTTCATTTTTTTTAAATCCCTTTTTACTCGTTTATTATTTTTTTTAACTTGTTTTTTTCCCTTATTTATTTTCATTTCCACGAAGACAGTTAAGTTTAGAAGCGATGTCAACTTAAAGATTTTCCCAGACTTGAAAGTTTTAAACTTTTGATTTATATTTTCCTCGTTTCGATCGCAAAGTCATTAAACCTGGCAACCTTTTAACTTCAATTAATTTAAATTGGGTTCAAAATAAACTTATAATTGCCACGCCAGTTAGCGTAGTTTTGCCTTTTGTTTTGGTAATAAAATTAAATATATCTTTTAATTTATGTAAAGAAATATGAAATTTTTCATTTTTGCAAAAAAATATTATCAAAATTATGAAAAAAAATTTTCTTTACTCTATTTTCTTAAAAAAAAAATAATGATCAATTTAATAGTAAATTTTGACTTGGAAAATTTTAATTTTATTTCAAACAGAAAAAAAATTCCATATGACAATAGAATAAACAAAGAATTCTTTAAAAATTTTTGCCAATAATTGAATGTCTGTGTTGAATTCTCTTTCATTTTTATTGAAAATAATTGAATTTAAAGATGATAATTATAAATCTATGTTCCTTGTGGATTGAAGAATTTCTATTCAATCAAATATTAATACTTTATTTTGCTTTCTTTCTATCGTTTTTTTTTTTTTTTAATTTTGTTTATTACTCTTCATTTATATTTTTCATTAATTTATATTTCCTCTAATTATTTACTTTGTTCACTTACGTATATATATGCTTTTAATTCCATTAAAAAAATAAATAATCGTATTTCGTTATCACTATTTTGTTTTCATTATATCGTCTCGTGGATATTTTTTTTAATAATGAGTTAATATAATAATCGGAATATTAAATTTATAATCGAAATAAACATATTTTTCGGTCCAATTGAAATTGAAAATTTCTTTTTTTTTCTCTTTCTGTTTTACAACATTTTTGCCATGTTAAAAATAATAAATAAAATGAAAAATAATAATAATAATAATAATAATAATAATATTAATGAGGAAATTAATATGTACGATAATTATAATTCGAAAAGCTATTAATATTTTGAATTAATTTAAAATTCCCAAATAAAAAAAAATGTTCATAAAAAATAAATTTAATTATATTTTATAATTTTATTTTAATTAAAAATTTTCGATTTTCAATTAAAATAAAATTATAAACAAATAATGAACAATTTAAAAAGGGTTGAAGGAGAGAAAATGAGAGAGATAGGAGACAGGGAGATGGCAAATCGGTGTTTGTGTGGCAAAACGATTTGAAAACATCGACTTGCCATATCGGGGACATATCGAGATGAAGACCTTTCCGGTAGTGTGACCCCTTTGAGATGCAGTTTGTAAAGATTCGTTCTCGGTTGGTTGGACAATAGGAAGCCACACTTTTGATAACAAAAAAAAAATTCTTCACATTCTCTTTGTAACGTAATTCTATAACACAAAACGTAAAAAAAATTTACTACACGAAAGGAAAAAATCAATTTATTGCTATTTCTGATTTTACGTTGCATTTTAAATTTTAAATTTTAAATTATTTATTATTTATTATTTATTATTTATTATTTATTATTTATTATTTATTATTTATTATTTATTATTTATTATTTATTATTTATTATTTATTATTTATTATTTATTATTTATAATTCATAATTTATAATTATTAATTATTGAAATTATAAAAATTACAAATTAAAAAAAATTATAAAATAAAATTCTCCACTTGAGAACGTCAAGGCCGCCACTAGAGGGCGAGGAATCAGATTTTATCAATTGAACTGCCATCTAACGGTGACCTTGACGTTCGCAGGTGGAGTTTCGATTACTATCAGTAATCACTTATTGTTTATATTTATTTTCCAGTAAAAAAAAAATTATAAATTAAAATTACAACTGAAGATGTGAAAAATATAATTTCCCAGAGAATTTTTATCGAAATAAAGTGTGTAGAGATGAAAAAAAAATTTTTTTTCAACAGTTTTAAAAAATTAGTAATGAAAACGACAAGGTTGTTGAGAATTTAAAAAGTCTCTCTGAGGCAGTTTTTTTTATTACTTATTTCTTTCTTTCTTTTTTTCTCCTTTTCTTTTTCTTTTTATTATACAATTACTTCGCACTTTCGTTGAATTTACAGGAAAACTATTTTAATCGCCACAAACTCGTGGGCCGCACACTCTTTCCAACGCTTTTCTTTTTCACTTCAAACACACCACCCCCCTCCCCCTCTTCTTTTTTCCTTCTGCCCCCCCCCTGCCTCTACCATCTGTAGAAGCAGGCGAAAGAGAGCTTTTCGTATATAGCCCGCAAGTTGTATGTGCCAATGAAATTTGGACTTTATTTTCAACCCCAGAGCCCACTCAACTGGCACATAACGACCTCTTTCGCATCCGGAAGAAATGACTGGCCCGTTAAATTGTTTTTCTTTTCCTCAAATATACGTTTCCACATTTTTTTTCTCCTTCATTTTTTTTTTTTTTTTTTTTGCCATTTCTCGCTCGCTGAAAATAATGCGATATTTCAATGTGCATTCCAACCTCGTTTCAATATATCATTTCGTAATTCGCGAGAGGATTAAAAATACAATTTTCCTCTTCTTCCTTCATTTTTTTTTTTTTTTTTTTTGCTGTAAGTAAAAAAAAAATATTTATTATTTAAACCTCTGAGATCGCAGTCACATATTCAATTTGTGTTAAGTGCTGACGAGTGAAATTGCTTCTCGGGTTTTTAAATTTGTTTTTTAATTACTTAGATTAATTTGAATCATCAATTTATTATATTGGATCAGGGAGAAATTATTATTTTTTCTTTTTAATTTAAAAATATGTAGCGAACCAAAAGAAAAATGTTAGAGTTATGCATTATTTTATAATTAAATTGAACATAATTTTTATATTGAATCAAGCTTATTATGTACTGAATCAAAATTTTTCAAAAATAATTGAAAAATTAATAATTGAAAAATAATATTTTCAAGAATTTTAACATAAATTCAATAATTTTAAACAATTTTGAGATGAAATTCTTTTAAAAAAATCATTATTTTCAAAAATTTTAATAAAATTCCTTAAAAAAATCAATTATCTTCAAAAATTCAGATAAAATTCTTCGAAACAATTCAATTATTTTTATAAATTAAAAAATTCTCAAAAAAAAATGTCAATTATTTTTATAAAAAAGAAAATTTATCGCAAGAATTAAAATATTTTCATAAATAATAAAATCCTTCAAAGGAATTCAATTATATTCATAAATCACAAAAATTTCTTCGGAGCAATTCAATTATTTTCAATACAATTTTAATCAAATTTCTCGAAAGAATTCAATTATTTTTAATAATATTATTTAATTTTGATTATTTTCAAGTGTTTTCAGCAATTTTAATAAAAAATTCTTCGAAACAATTCAATTATTTTTATAAATTGTAAAATTCTTGACAAGAATTCAATTATTTTAAAGAATTTTAATAAAAATTTTGCTAAAATTCAATTATTTTTAGAAATAATTATTTCTGAAAATAATTGAATTCTTAAATAGAATTTTATTAAAGCTTTTTAAAATAATTGAATCCCTGCCAAAAAAATTATTATTTTTGCAAATAATTGATTTTTTGTATAAAATTAAAAAAAAATAAGTGAATTTTTGATGTAATTGGAATGTTTGAAGAAATCATTTAAAAATGGAATTAAAAATAATTGAAATTCTGATAAGGATTTTATTATTTATATAAAAGTAATTGAATTATTTTACGAAAATATTTTAATTTATAAATTGACATTTTGCAAAGAATTTTATAACAATTATTGAAAATAATTGAATTCTTCATAAAATTCAATATCTTAAAAATTTTTCATTAAAAATTATTAAGAAAAACTCCACTATTTTCAAAGAAAATTGAAATAAATTCTTAAAAACAATTCAATTATTTTTAAGTATTTTAATAAAAATCTTGCCAAGAATTAAATTATTTTTTTAGTATAAAATTGCAATTTATTTTGATTTTTATAACGTGTGAAAATTAACTAGACAAATCTTTCAAATTTTACTTTTGAATAATTTTTCTAATTAAATTTTCGAAATTTAAAGACAATTTTTGAGTAATTGAAATTTTGTAAAATTGATTTGAAAATAATTTATTTTTTTCAAGTATTTTATTAAAATTTTCGAAGATCAACTTTTGAAGAATTTTAATTGCAAATTTTTGAAAAATAATTGAATTCTCACAAATTTTAATGAAAAATCTTTAAAAGTAAATTTAATGTAAATGAATTTTTTTAAATTCAATTATTTTCAATTACTTTTTTACGACTTATTATAATTTAAAAAAAATTTATCTTCATTTACAATTAAAATTTTTGAAAAATTTTATTATTAAATGTTTTTATTAAAATTAATTTATTTAGATTCTAATATGTTATTTCTTGGTATACTTTTGTATTTTGTAATTTAAAAAAATTTTTTTTGTTTTGTTTATAAATAATATTTTTATGATTTATTCTGCTTTTTTATAGAGGAATGTACGGCGGACAGGTGCAGCAAAGTTCCATGTTCACATGGTGGAAAATGTCTGACTACTGGTGGTGATACTGCTGTCTGTCTTTGTCCTCTAGGATATACTGGCGATCTTTGCGAAACAAGAGTGGATTTACAAGTAAGTGAACATTTATAATTTTCACTATAAAAAAAGAAAAAAAAAATCCACATTCGCCTCATTGACATAAAATAACCCAAAAAGGTAAATTTATACAAAAAAAATTGATATTAGTAAAAAAATTATATAAAAAAAAATCAAGATAACAATTTTGTTATTTTTCTTTAATTATTTAATTGAATTTTTTTAATTGATTCATAATTAAAATTAAATTTAATTAATTAAATTAAATTAATTAAATTAAAATAATTAAATTTAAACTAATTAAATTAAAATAATTAAATTTAAATTAAATAAAATAAATTGAAATAAAAAAATAATTAAAACAAATTAATTCTTCGTTTAAAAAAAAAATAAAATAAATAACATTACTAAAAAAAAAGTGGAATAACATAACAATTCCCTTTTTCTACAAATCGAAATTTTATCGTCCAACCAAAAACAATTTTAACGCGTGAAAGTAATTTTAAGTTAAATTGCAGTTTTTAATTACGCGATTTATTTTTATAATCAAGTTTTATAACTTGTAACGAAGATTTTTATTCACCTGGTAACGACATGAACAAAAAAAAAAAATAATAAATCTCGGGTACGTAAAATATTTGAATTCACTTTTTTTTCCATCATTCTTCGTCACTTGCAAAAAAACGCTATTGTTATAGCCGGAAAATTACTCGCAGCATTTTTATAAAATAAAAAAAAAATTCTTGAGGTTTTTGTCTCTATTCAGTATAACGTTGATACAAACGGAAAAAAATTTTTTTTGTAAATGAATTTTAAGAAATAATAATAGATATTTTATTTTTTGTTTCACTGTGTATATTTTTATTCATCTCTCATTTGAATTGATAATTAGTTCTCAATTGAATTATTTTTATGTTACGTATTTCTTTATTAAATTTATATTGTAATTCTATGGTGAATTTTTATATTTTATTTATATATTTTGTATTAATAATTAGTCTTTTGTAGTGAATTGTTATATTTTATTATTATTATTTGTTTTCATTTAATTTTCATATTTTTTTAAAAATTTTAATTGAATTTTAATCTTTTGTTTTTATATTTGGTTTTCATATTCTATTTTTATATTATATTTTTATACTAATATTATACAATATTTTTTAGTTTATTCTGCAACTCTTGTTACTCTTTTCAATAAATTATTTGTTATTCATTTTATTTAAATATTATAATTACGATTTAAATTCAACTCTACACTGAAAAGAAAATTTTTTTGATTCAAATAAGCGATTACTTGTCTATTATCAAATAAATATTTATTTGAGTCAAATAATTTTGATTCAAAACAATTAAATAGTATTTACTTCAAATGCTGAAAATATTCATTCAATTACATTTTATTTAGAGTTAAATAAAAATTATTTGATTCAAGAAAATATTTCTTTGATAATAGACAAGTAATCGGTAAATTTATTCAAATAAATTCTTTTTTCAGTGTATATTTATTTATTTATTTATTTGAATATTGATTTATATTAAATTGCAGAAATAATATTTTTTTGTTTTTATTTCGAGACAAAATATTTACAAATAATTTTTTTCAATATTTATTAATTTAATTATTATATTTACTGTTATTGAATCGGAAATAAATTCTGAAAAATTGTTTATTTTGTTCAACTCCTGGAAGTTCTTTGCAAGAATTCAATTATTTTCATTAATAATAAAATTCTTCAAAGGAATTCAATTATTTTTATAAATAATAAAATTCTTCGAAGAAATTCAATTATTTTTATAAATAATAAAATTCTTCCAAGGAATTTAATTTTTTTTAATGCGATTGTAATAAAATTAATTGCAAAAATCCAATTATTTTTAAAAATTTTAATGAAATTCTTTATAGAAATTTAATTAATTTCAAAAATTTGTCGAAATTCAATTATTATTCTCAATATCGAATATTTTAATAAAATTTCCCAAAAGAATTCAATTATTTAAAAAAGTTTAACAAATTTTCTCGATAGAATTCGTTTATTTTTAAAAATTATGATAAACTCTGTAGAAGAATTCAATTATTTTGAGTACAGTTTTAATTAAACTCATCGTACGAACCATAAATTTTCTTCGATAGTATTTAATTTGTATTTTTACAAATTTAATTTTTTTAAAATTGTTTTTATCGATTATTCCTATAAATAATAAAATCTTCCAACGAATTTAATTATATATTCAATTTAATTAAATTTCAATAATTTTTAATAATATTTTAAATGAATTCTTCGAAAAATGCAATTATTTCTGGAAATTTCATTAAAATTCTTAGAAAGAAGAATTATTTGCATTATTTTGAATGCAATTTTAATTTATTTCCTCGAGAAAATGTAATTATTATCAACAATTTTGATAAATTTATTGAAATATAAAATAATTGAAAATTTTTAATAATTAGTTTTCATTGAACATTTTTTTTAAAAGTTTAAAAAATAGATGAAATAGGTGAAAATTGACGGAATTGGTGAAATAGATGCAAAAATTAAATAATAAACTCCAAAAGAATTAAATTATTAAAAAAAAAGTATTAAATAAAATTCCACGCAAACATTTAATTATTTTCATTAATAATACAAATTTTACAGGAATTCTATTATTTACAAAATTTTTATAAATTTTTTCGCAATAATACAATTATTTTCATAAAAAATAATTTTTTTTACAGGGATTCAATTATTTTTATAAATAATAAAATTCTTCTCCGAAATTCAATTATTTTCAACATTTTAATTTAATTCATAGTAAATTTTTAATTATTTTCAAAAATTTCCCTCAATTTAATGATTTTTAATATATCTATTATTTTAATAAAATTTTCCAAAAGAATTTAATAATTTAAAAAAAAAATTTTTTTGATAAAATTCTATACGAACATTAAATTATTTTTTATTATTTTCATAAATATATTAAATTACATTTCAGGAATTTTAATTATTTTTATAAATAATAGAATTCTTTTTGAGAATTCAACTATTTTCATAAATAATCATTTATTTGCATAAATACTCATTGCAGAATTGCAATTATTTTCAGTACGTTTTTAATTCAATTCCTCAAAATAATTCAACTATTCTTAAAAATTCTATTAAAATTCATCGAAAAAATTTAATTATTTATAAATTGTATTGAAATTCTTTAAAAGAATTCAATTATTTAAAAATTTGTTGATGAAATTCTTTATGAGAATTGAATTTTAAGAAACTTTCAATTAGGTTCAATAAATTATTTATTTTTGTATTTAAATAATTGAATTCTATTTGAATTTTTTAATAAAATTTGAATTAAAAATGAATTTTAGTTAAAAATTCTTGAAAATAATAATCGAATTGTTAATGATTTTATCACTCGGTCAACTTTAATTATAAAACATGAAGAAATCCGATCACTCCGAGTTGAAGACTCAAAGTTATCGATATCTTCATGTTTTCTAGTTATGAAAAATTTAATTTTTAGTTTTAAGTAGGTAATTTTACTTGAAACTAAAAATATTTTTTATTTTTGTCAGTAATTGGTCCGTAAGTGGTGCGTATGTTAAAATATTAATATTATCAAAATAAAAAAAAAAAAATGCAGAATTTCCATGGAATTTTTCGACGAAAAAATCTATACTTTTCGAAAGGAAGGAAGAAAAGAAATTTTTCTTTTCGTAAAAATTTAATGTCCTGTATAATAAAATGACTATTCACGGCGTTATGACTTTTAAAGCTACGGGGAGCTTAATACCTAATTACAATGTGCCGTAATAAATTGTTGTCGAACTACACTACTTCTCGTTGCTAATATTTTGCCCGTCGTGATATAGTAATTACCCCGTGTATGGGAACGAGAAAATTATACGGCGTCTGTCACTGGAATATGTGCATACATGCATACATATATATATACAAAATGTAGACATATATAAAATACATATATATATATTTGTGAATATATACATATGCAAATATACATACATTTACTAATATACATATGTACATATGTATATACATAGAAAGTAATGTATGCGTTGGACGCAGTACAATATCGATTGCGACAATGGTGGACGCGGAATAAAACTATATAAACTAAATCAGTCTGAATTGCTATCGAGAGACAATGAATATTATTATCATACAATATCTGGATATATTGATTTTTAAAAGGTTTCTATTTTAATTGTATCAGTGAAAATAGAAACTGTTGCTTTATTTTTAAATATTAGGGTGTAAATTGAAAATTTACAGCCCCATTTTGTTCTCTTTCCTGTAAATTCTTTTTTTTTTTGTTCGTTTTTGCCGAATTGTCGATTTTTTTATTATTTTTTTTATTTTTAGTATTTATAATAATAATAATAATTATTATTATTATCATATAGTGTTTATAATAATAATTATTATTATTATCATATATAGTGTTTATAATAATAATTATTATTATTATCATACAGTATTTATAATAATTATAATTATTATTATTATTGTCATATTTTTATGGAAATTTGCTGACAGTAGTCAGGAGACAATTTTTGTCGAATGTAGTGTCAGTAGTGTAAACTAGTGACAGTCAGACAAGACTCGGAATTCAGTAGTAGAGGTCGATTTTACTCAGACTTGAGTTTAAATCGTTTATTTTTTATAGAAATTTCTTGAAATTCAGGAGATAATTTTTTTCGAATGTAGTGTCAGTAGTTTAAATCAGTTATAGTCAGACAAGACTCAGAATTCAGTAGCAGAGGTCGATTTTACTCAGACTTGAGTTTAAATCGTTTATTTCTTATGAAAATAATTTTTTTCCATTCTATTTTTGGTCTAATGAAGTTTCAGTAGTGTAAACCAGTAACAGTCAGACAATACATAGAAATTAGTAATAGAGGTCGATTTTAGTCAGACTTGATTTAAAATCGTTTATTTTTTTTTATAGAAATTTGATGAAATTCAGAAGATAATTTTTTTTTTTAATGTAGCGTCAGTAGTTTGAATTAGTTATAGTCAGACAAGACTCAGAAGCAGAATTCAGTAGTAGAGGTCGGTTTTAGTCAGATTTGAGTTTAAATCGATTATTTTTTATATAAATTCGTTAAAATTCAGGAGATAATTTTTTTTGAGTGTTAGTGTCAGTAGTTTAAATTATTTAGTCAGACAACACTTAGAAATCAGTAGTAGAGGTCGTTTTTAGTCGGACTTTTATTTTTATGAAAAGAATTTTTTTTCATTTCATTTTTGGTCTAATGAAGTTTTAGTAGTGTAAACCAGTAACAGTCAGACAATACATATAAATCAGTAGTAGAGGTCGATTTTAGTCAGACACTGGTTTAAATCGATTATTTTTTATAAAAAGAATTTTTTTCACTTCATTTTTTTCAATTTAAGTGTCAGTAGTGTAAACCAGTAACAGTCAGACAAGACATAGAAATCAGTAGTAGAGATCGATTTTAGTCAGTCTTGTGTTTATATCGTTTATTTTTTATAGAAATTTGATGAAATTAAGAAGATAATTTTTTTTGTTTTTTAATGTAGCGTCAGTAGTTTGAATTAGTTATAGTCAGACAAGACTCAGAAGCAGAATTCAGTAGTAGAGATCGGTTTAAGTCAGACACTAGTTTTAATCGTATATTTTTTTATTGTTTGTTGAAAGTCAGGAGACATTCTTTGTCGAATGCAGTGTAAGTAGTACAAGTCAGTTACAGTCAGACAAGGCAACTTTATTTTTTATTTTATTGTCAAGTAGTTAAGACGTGCATTAGTCAGACAAGGCGTTCTAAACTTGTCTAATTGCAGAAAAAATAGAGAAAACAATTAAAGTATTTGAAAATCAAAGATTTTGTAGAAAAAATTGTAAAAAAAAATTGTAGAAAAAATACAGAAAAAAATTGTAAAAAAAATTGTAGAAAAAATAGAGGAAAAATTTGAATTATTTGAAAATCAAAGATTTTGATTTGATAATCAAATATTATTAAATTAAAAAACAGACTCTGGACAGAATACGACGATTATTATATAGTTAACAATAATTAATAATAATTAATAATTAATAATAATAATAATTTTTAAGACAAAATAGAAAAATAATTCCAACTCTGAATTGAGAAAATAGTTCCCCTTTAATTTTCCAGTCGAATTGAAATTTCGTTTTATAATTTGCATTTCTATAATCTAAACCGAAATTGTATTTTAAAACCAATCGTGTACATTTTCCAATTTCGTTCGTTACGCAGTAAAACTGTAAAATCAAATTTATCATTTCCTATTTTTTGTTCCATTTCTTTTTTTTTTATTGCAAAGAACCAATTCTTTTTTTTTTCGTCGACCCAACTTTCTTTTTTATTATTTCATTTGCTTCTTAAAATGAAGTGTAATTTTTCTCTCATGTGAGTGAGAGACTCACATATACTATATACGTACTTTAAATGTAGGTTCCATTTGCATTTTGCACCTCGTGATTTTTTTTCCTGTTCATTTCCCAGGGAAGTATATTAGCAGCATTCTATTTTTTTCCTACTCCTCTTCTTCCTTCTTTTTTGTCTTTTTTTTTTGTCCACAGTTCGTGAAAACATAAAGTGAAGCATAGAATGACGTACATATTGCGACATGTAGTCTGTGACACGTATTGTAATATTATATATTCATCTTTGCACCTGGAAAATTGAATCCGTTGCTATCCCTTTTATGTCTGTCAAATGTGCGCCATATCTTTCGAAGTGAATGAAAAGTTGCTTTAAATTCAACGAAAAATGACATTTAGTAAAATGGAAAAAAGAGGGAGGGAAAGAGAGAGAGAGAGAAAGTTTTTACTAAATATTTCCTTTAACAAAAATAATTTTTATTTACTTCTTTTTCTTTTTTATTAAACAAATGTGGGGCAAAAAAAAATTCTTTTCACGTCGCTGAACAAGTTGACGAGGTTTTATTTTGTGTTGGAATTATTCCATTTTTATTCGATATATTAGAATATAAAAATGATTTTTTTAATTTACGATGGGAACGGTATGGGAATTTTAGGGGTGGCATAATTTGAGGGTAGACAACTAGACGGTACTTACCGTCATTCAGAAATAAATGAATTAAATTAATAAATAAATCAAAACGAAATAAATTAGATTAAAAAATGAATCAAAACGAAATAAATTAAATTAAAAATAAATCAAAACGAAATAAATTAAATTAAAAAATAATTCAAAACAAAATAAATTAATTAAATATATCAAAATAAAATAAATAAATTAAATTAAAAAATAAATTAATTAAATTAAATAAAGATTGAATTTTGTAGAAGTTAAAAATGATTGCAGAAATTCAATGATGTTTAAAATATTTTTTAAATTCTCGTCAGAATGTCTATTATCTTTATAAATAATAAAATTCTTCTTTGGAATTCAATTATTTTCAAAAAATTTAATAAACTTCTTGGCAAAATTTCAATTATTTTTCAAAATAACAAAATTCTTCTCCAAAATTCAATTATTCTCATAAATTACAAAAAAAATTTTCGGAGGAATTCAATTATTTTCATGCAATTTTAATAAAAGTTCTCCACAAGATTCAATTATTTTTAAAATTTGTAATGAAATTCTATTAAAAATTTAATTATTTTCAAAACTAATAAAATTCTTCTCAGAAATTCAATTATGTTTAAAATTTTTTAAAAACTATCGTCAACATTTCAATTATTTTTATGAATAATTAAATTCTTTTTCGAAATTCAATTATTTTCAAAAATTTTAATAAAATTCTTGGTAAAATTTAAATTACTTTTATAAATAAAAAAATTCTTCTCCGAAATTCAATTATTTTCAAAAATTTTAATAAAATTCTTGGTAAAATTTAAATTACTTTTATAAATAATAAAATTCTCCTCCGAAATTCAATTATTTTCAAAATATGTAATAAAATTCTTAGGGGAAATTCAATTATTTGCATAAATCACAAAAATATCTTCGAAGGAATTCAATTATTTTCATACAATTTTAATAAAAATTCTCCACAGGATTCAATTATTTTTTAAAATTATAATGAAATTCTATTAAAGAATTTAATTATTTTCAAAACTAATAAAATTCTTCACAGAAATTCAATTATAATTTCAATTATTTTTATAAATAATAAAATTTTTCTTCGAAATTCAATTATTTTCAAAAATTTTAATAAAATTCTTCTCATTATTTAAATTTTTAAATTACCTTTATAAATAATAAAATTCTTCTCCGAAATTCAATTACTTTCAAAAAATTAAATTTTTTTACTGGAATTTAATTATTTTTATAAATAATAAAATTCTCTTTAAGAATTCAATTATCTTTATAAATAATAAAATTCTTCTCCGAAATTCAATTATTTTCAAAATTTATAACTCATTGTAAATTTTTAATTATTTTCAAAAATTTTTCTTAATTTAGTGATTTTCAATATCTACTATTACAATAAAATTTCTCAAAAGAATTTAATTATTTAAAAAAAAATTTTGATAACATTCTTTACGAAAATTAAATTATTTTTTTATTATTTTCATAAAGATATTAAAATACATTTTAGGAATTTAATTATTTGCATAAATAATAGAATTATTCTTAAGAATTCAACTATTTTCATAGTCATTTTTTTTATAAATACTCATTGCAGAATTTCAATTATTTTCAGTACGTTTCTAATTCAATTCCTCAAAATAATTCAATTATTCTTAAAAATTCTATAAAAATTCATCGAAAAAATTAAAGTATTTAAAAATTTGATGATGTGATTCTTTATGGAAATTCAATTTTAAGAAACATTCAATTATTCAATAAATTATTTATTTTTATATTTAAATAATTGAATTCTCGTAGAATTTTCTAATAAGAATTAATTTAAAAATGAATTTTAGTTCAAAGTTCTAGAAAATATTTATAGTAATAATAATTGGAAAATTATCAGTGACATTAAAAATAAAATTAGAAAATTGTAAAAAATTTAACAATTAGAGAAATTCGAAAATAAATGTAACAGAACATTTTTATGAGTAATTATAGTTAATTATATATTTATAGTAATAATAATTAGAAAATTATCCAGTGACATTAAAAATAAAATTAGAAAATTGTAAAAATCCCGAGCACAGCAAAAATAAAAATTATAAAGTACAATAATATTTATGATTGAAGAATGAAAATTGATTTATCACATTAGTTTTTTCGTTAAAATGTTTTATTTGTCACAAAAGTGAAAAAGAAATAATTGTTTGATGCTGAATTGCAATTAATAACTGATATATACGATTTTCTCCGCAGGTACCGTCCTTCAATGGATCCTCGTACTTACGATATCCGGGATTAGCGGAAACTTCGCTTTCCTGGTTGGAATTGGCTGTCACTCTAAAACCAACAGCACGAAATGGTGTCATTCTCTATAATGGTCATCACAGCGATGCCACTGGCGATTTTATTGCACTTTACCTATCAGGAGGTCATGTGCAATTTACTTTCGATCTAGGAACTGGGCCAGCGACACTGAGGTAATAAAAAAAAAATTTCTATTTATACATTTTTGCTCAAAAATATTTTCGAGTTATTTTTAATGAAGTTTTAGTTTTATTCACTAATTTTTTTCTGAATAATAATATTATTAATAGTAGGTATTTAAATATAAATTATAATAAAAAAAAATAGTAAACAATAATTTTTTTTTCGCCCAAACTTAAAAAGAAAATATTCAACCTACTTAAAAAACATTTTCTTCCTCTTTTTCCTCCAAACTAACAATTCGGAGGCAAAATAGATGCTGTAAATTGGAGTGTAAATAAATCATTTGCTCTACTTTCGGAACAATAACTTTTTTTTTTTAGAAAAGACAAAAAAAAAGTGAAAACAAACACCAGGGGGAATTTCAATTTCCAAGTACATAATATATCCTCTGGTTGTACCGTTAAAAGCTTCTTATAATCTAACGTAAATTAAATCACAACGAAAAACTAAATGTTCATTCAGGAAATGTGTATCTGTTTTTGGTGCGGGTGCTATTACATAATAATTATTTACCTCGCGACAAAAAAATTTTCATTAAAAATAAATGACAACAAATATTTATTTCAAAAAAAGTAAATAAAATAAAACATTAAATAAATTGGATGAAAGTGGAAATTATACTAAATAAATTAGAAAATATTTGCTACTCTAATTTATAGTAGTAAGAAATAAACAGATATCATTTTTAGTTGAAAATAATTTAGGAGAAAAATAGTTTTATTAGTACAAAATTAATTAGTAGAAAAATTATTTTTAGTAGAAAAGTAATTAGTAGAAAAATTATTTTTAGTAGAAACTTAAGTAGTAGAAAAATTATTTTTTGTAGAAAATTAATTAGTAGAAAAATAATTTTTACTAGAAAATTAATTGGTAGAAAAATAATTTTTAGTAGAAAATTAATTAGTAGAAAAAGTAGTAGATTTGCAGGATAAATAAAGAAAAGTAAAATAAATAAAAAAAAACAAATAAGAATTGCAATCATTTGCAATACATATTAAAATAAATCCTAAAAAATTAATGTTTCAACGAATAAAAATAAGACGATAATTAAAAATTACCCTTTCGATAATAATCCTTAAAACATATCGCATATCACGATAATATCTCACTTAATTCCTAATAATTAATGCATAAATTGAATTGCTGACCAAAATTGTCAGAATCCACTGCGCGCTTATTTGTCTCGTGTATTCTGCCAGTATAAATAAGATATTGAGGGCAAATCGATGTTGGAAAATGTGTATATATATAGCTATAGTGAAAAAGCATTGAATTGTAAAATCAAGACCCATATATTCTGACAGCTCTGGTCGCCTATCGTGGGAGCGGAATCTTTTAATAATTTTTTTTTTTTTATTTTTATTTTCATCTAAACTGACGGACGAAAAACAAAAGGGAAACAACGTTAAAGCCGATACCTCAGAAGATGAACATTATTTTTCTATTCTCACTTTAAAAAAAAAAAAAAAAAAAAATCAATAATCCTCTTTCTGTGGAGAGAAAAATTAACGACTTTTTATTTTAACTCCACCAATTTTTTTCTTCTTCTCTTTTTTAAGATGAAAAAATCTTAACTAATTAGAAGCTAATTTTTAAATTGTGTAAAAATTGCAAACTTTTTACGTTTAAAAAGTTTTTTTAGTTCTACCATCGTCGATTGAAAAAAAAGAATTATTTGTAATTAAATAACTATAAGTTGTATTTGAATAATAATTAATTAATTATTATTTAAAAATAAATTTATTTTCAAATTAATTAAATAATTAATTCCATTCCATTATTTTGAATGCAATTTTAATTCATTTCCTCGAAAAAATTTAATTATTAGCTATCAATAATTTTAATAAATTTATTTATTGAATTGAGGAAATTTTTTGAAAATAATTAAATTCTTTAATATAATTTCATTTCAATTTTTAAAAATAATTGAATCTTGTGGAGAATTTTTATTAAAATTGTATGAAAATAATTGAATTCCTTCGAAGAAATTTTTGTGATTTATATGAAAATAATTGAATTTCGGAGAAGAATTTTGTTATTTTTAAAAGTAATTGAAATTTTGCCAAAAAGTTTATTAAATTTTTTTTGAAAATAATTGAATTTCGAAGAAAAATTTTATTTATTTATAAAAATAATTGAAATGTTGACAATAGTTTTTAAAAATGTTTTTGAACACAATTGAATTTATTTCTGTGAAGAATTTTATTATAGTTTTGAAAATAATTGAATTTCTGCAAACATTTGTAACTTCTCCAAAGTTCAATTTTGTTTTCAATGTTTAAAATTCAATGAATTTTAAAAGATTCAAGTAAAATTATTCATTAAATATTTTATTAATTATTAGTAATAATTTTTTTTTCAGTTCTTTAAGAATTAATTGAGTTTATAATTTTTTAAAAAAAAATATAGAATTACAAAATAGAAAAATACAAAAATACGAAATGTGAAAATACAAAAATGCACAAATAAGAAACGTAAAAATACAAGCAAAAATACAAAAGTACAAAAATACAAAATGTGACAATACAAAAATAAGAAATGTAAAAATACAAGAATATAAAAATACAAAAGTACAAAAGCACAACAAAAAAAAAATAAAAATACACACAAAATACGAGAATACAAAAGTATAAATATAAAAGTGTAAAAAAAATACAAAAATGGGAAATGTAAAAATACAAAAATACAAGCAAAAGTACAAAAGCACAAAAAAATAAAAATACACGCAAAATACGAGAATAGAAAAGTGTAAAAGTGAACAAAAGTACAAAAGACTTTCATAAAATTCGCTGCCTATCTTCTTTCACTCAATTTCCTTTCTTTTTTCTATTAAAAAGCAATTTGTTTCCTCCTCGCTATAAATGTACTATCGCACGTGTTTGAGGATTCCCTCCACCCCGAAAAAGAAAAAAAAAGTTTTACAGAAAACAAATGAAATTTAAATGATCGATTAGATAAAAAAGTAAAAAAGTAAAAAATAAAGAAGAAGAAGAAGAGTTGGACGTGAGTTGATCGTTTGATCTTGAGTGTATCGGTCGTTTAGGCGCGAATCAAAGTCTGAATATTCATAAAGGAAATCAGCACTGCATTGTATGCACGTGTCACTGCACAGACATAGACACGAGAAATGTATGTAGGTATGTATACAGAGAGAGAGACACGAAAATACATATAGTTAGAGATCGGCATGTCATACTGTGGGAAGATTGGCGTGTAATCGGGTCGTGTTCGATCCAGCTTTCATTTCTCCTTTTATTAGACCATAAATTCATAGAGTTGCGGTCATTGCACACACGTCTCACTTGTACGCTTTCCTTTTTCAAACCATATCCGCTACACGAACTATTAATTACTCTACACGAAATATTCTATATATAGTCTGAATTATTACACCCCCAAGTGTGATGTGGATTTTGTAAATCAAATATCAGGTTTCACTTTTTTATTCTCACGTTTATCATCATCATTATCATCATAGTTTATTTCGTTCAACAAGAATTTCATTTCTTAAAGATATTAAATGCTTTTGTTATTTAAATGCAAAAAAGCATAGAAAGTAAAAATCAAAAGAATTAAAATTATATTATAGTTAAAGAAAATAAATTAAATACTTAAATAAATTAAAAATGTTAATTTAAATTTAATTTGCTAATTAACAGATAAAAATCAATTTTAATTTAAAAAAAACCTAAACAATATTTATATTAATAATCGTTGTATTCCGGTAATCTGTTCGCAGCATGAAGTTAGTTGCTTTTTTGTTTCCTAACTTTTGAAATAATTTTCCTTTTCAAAAGTTTTCAATTTTAAAAATTAATGTAGGTACTAAAAATCATTGAATTCTTGCAAAGTATTTATCGAAAAATTTTTAAATAATTGAATTGTATTTCCAAAAAATGTAATTAAAATTGCATTGAAAATAATTTTATTCTTGACAAGATTTTCATTAAAATTCATTTAAAATTTAAATAATTGAATTCTTTTGAAGAATTTATTTCAATTTTCTTAAAAATAAAAATAATGGAGTTTTTTAAAAATAATTTTTACAACAAATTTTTAAAAAGTCATTGAATTTTATCAAGAATTAAATTATTCTCAATAATCGTAATAAAATTCTTTGCAGAAAGTCAATTTATAAATAATGAAAATCTTTATAAAAAAATTAAATTATTTTTTATATAAATAATAAAATTCTTATCAAAATTTCATTTATTTTCAATACAATTTTAATCTATTTCTTCAAATTCAATTATTTTTAAAAATCTTTTAAAATTTCTCCAAGAAAATTCAATTATTCAAAAAACACTTAAAAACTTTTAATAAAATTCAATTTAAGAATTCAATTATTTTCATAAATAATAGAATTTTCGCTGGAATTCAATTATTTTAAATAGAATTTTATTGAATTACAGAGAAAATTATATTATTTTGAAATTCTTCGTAAGAATTCAATTTATATCAATAAATAGTACATTTTTCTCAGGTATTCAAAATTCAATTATTTTAAATACCTACAATTTTCATAAAGTTTTCAAAAATTCAATTATTGTAGAAAGAATACAGTTTTTCGCAGGAATTCAATTATTTCATTAAAATTCTATTCAAGAATTCAATTATTTTCAGAAATAAAATTTTCGATGTGTACTGAAAATCATTGAATTCTTGTAAAGTAATTTAAAAAAAAATGGAATATAATTGAATTCTTTTCAACAACTTTATTAGAGTTTTTGTATATAATTGCATTTTCCTTTACTAATTTCATTAAAAATAGTTAAAATAATGTAATTTTTAAAAATAATTTTAATATAAAATGTTTAATATATGTAATTAAAATTTACAAAGAATTTTATTAAAAACTTTTATTTTATTAAAATTATGAATATAATTAAATTTTTTCCTATAAATTTTATTAAAATTGTATCGAAAATAATTGAATTTCTCAGAAGAATTTTATTATTTACAAAAATAATTTAATTCTTGCCAAGAATTTTTTATCCAAATTGTTGAAAACACTTGAAAATAATTGAATTTTAATAATATTTTTTTAAAATATAATTGTATTCTTTCGAGAAATTTTATTAAAATTGTATTTAAAATAATATTTAATTCCTCTGAAATAGATATTTTATTATTTATGAAAATAAATAATTAAATTTCTTTGAAGAATTAAATTCTTGTGAAAATACGCAGATATTCAATTATTTTTAAAACTTTTAGTAAAATTCTTTGCAGAAGTTCAATAATTACTTTCAGAAATTTAAATTTAATTTTTCACAAAAATGGAAATATTTTTGTTATTATATTAAGAATCTTTGAAGCAATTCAATTATTTTCAGAAATTTTAATTAAATTTTTCACAAGAATGGAAATATTTTTGTTATTATATTAAAAATCTTTGAAGAAATTCAATTATTTTGAAAAATCTTAATAAAATTGAGGGTTAATTTTTTTGAATAATGGAAATTTTGACAAGAATTTTACAATTCATAAAAATAATTGAATTGTTTCGAAGAACTTTATCTGAAATTTTTAAAATTTATTGAATTTTTTGAAGGAATTTTATTAAAAATTCATCAAAAATTGTCGAAAATAATTTGAATTTATATTAAAATTCTTGAAAATAATCGAATTTATTATTTAATTTAATTTATTACTTAATTTATTATTTAATTTATTTTAATTTATTATTAAGTTAATGTAAATGAATAAGTATTCAAATTAATTTACCAATTAAACAGAAAAGAAAATTTTCATTAGTAATTCACGGCATTTTCTTATAATCATAAACATAATATTTGAATAAGCATATCGTATGTTTTTGAAATAAAATATGAAAGTAAAAATGAATAATTTATAAAATACGAAGGAAGGAGGTGTATTCGTTTATGTAAACCATTTGAATATTGAAACAAGGATTTAGACACAAGGCTATTCAAATTCATGAATTTTTACGAAAAGTCTCGAAAAAGCAATTTAATAATAATTAGTCTAAAATTTTTAAATGTTTTATTTACTTGGCAAGAACGAGAGAGAGAGACAGAAAGAGAGACCCTTTTTCATATTCACTTCCTGCGAAACGGAAAGCCTTTATTAATAATTTCATTTTAGGATTAGCGAGCCTCAAGGCATGCCAGTAGTATAAGTAGGTTTACGGTCGGACGGTTATAATGGAACTTCTTCAAAGGGAAGTTTAGAGCCAGCGTTGAAAGATGAATCGAGGCTTAAGATAAGCCATTTTTCGGAGTCTTTATATTAATTTTCCTTACTTTTTACTGTTTCATGTCTCCTTAGATTATGTAAATTTTTTTATCAAAAGCATTTATTATACATTTTCATAAATTTTTTTTAATTTATTATTTTTAGAATTTTATTTTTTTTTCCTTCTCTCTCTCTCTCTCTCTCTCTCTCTCTCTCTCTTTCGTATACACCGTTTTGTATGTATATGGACATGAAATTCACCTCTTTTGCCTCCTCCTTCACTCTTCTTTATACGAAAACCCTCATTTTCAACTTTGAAGTTTTAATATTTCAATAAACGAGCAAATAGTTTTCTGAAACTTGTGTTTTCGATTATCATATTTTTTCCACTATATATATCTCACGTGTTTTGCATTTTAATATTTTTTTTATCACAAAATATTTATATAGATTCTATTTTTCATTTTCATAAATTGATATTCAAATTACTTACATGGGGAAAAATGGATTTTTTTTCAAGTAAATATTACTTTAATACTGTATTAAATTTACTGTAATATTTACTGTATTAAATATTAAACTGAAAAAAAAATTTATTTATTTTTATAAATACTAAAATTCTTCTCCGAAATTCAATTATTTTTAATAAAATTTTCATCAAAATTTCAATTATTTAAAAAAATTTTTCTCAATTCCATTCAATTTCACCAGAATTTAATTATTTACAAATTTTTTATTAATTTTTTCGCAATCATTCAATTATTTTTATAAATAATAAAATTCTTTTTATGAATTTAATTATTTTCAAAAGTAATAAAATTTTATTCAGAAATTCAATAATGCTCAAAAAAAAAAATTTTAATTCTCGTCAAAATTTCAATTATCTTTAAAAATAATAAAATTCTTCTCCGAAATTTTCAATTATTTTCAAAAATTTGAATAAAAATCCCGGCAAAATTTCAATTATTTTTCAAAAATTTTCCTCAATTCAATTCAATTTCAACAGGAATTTAATTATTTTCAAATTTTTTAATAAATTTCTTCGCAATAATTCAATTATTTTCATAAATTATAAAATTTTTACAGGGATTCAATTATTTTCATAAATAATAAAATTATTTTTAGGAATTCAATTATTTTCGCATGAATAATAAAAATTGTTGCAGAATTTCAATTATTTTTAATAGAATTTTAATCGAATTCCTCGTAAAATGTAATTATTCTTAAAAATTATATTAAAATTCGTCGAAAGAATTCAATTATTTAAAAATTTATTCATAAAATTCTCTATGGGAATTGAATTTTAAGAAACATTCAATTATTCAATAAATTATTTATTTGCATTTTATTTGTATTTAAATAATTGAATTTTAGTAGAATTTTCTAATAAAAATTGATTTAAAAATTAATATCAGTTAAAATTTTAGATAATTGAATAGGTATTAAAAGCAATATGAGTTTTTCGAAATAATTGAATTTTGAAATTAATTTTTCTGAAAATGTTTAATTGAATTTTTTTATTTTATTTGAAGTTTTTATTTTCTAATATTTATTATTTACAAAATATTTTAATTATTCTTTTATTTGTTGATTGTTTTTTAATTAATTAATTACTTTATTTCCATTTTATCTTTATTGATATATTATTTAATTTTTTTTTATTAATTTAATATTTTAATTTATTATTAAGTAATTTCATATAATTTATTTATTTATTTAGAAAGAAATAATTTTTTTTTCATTAAATAATTAAAGTTGTGAATAATTGTGTTTTAAAAATTTCAAGAAAATTTATAATATTTGGAAGTAAATGAATTTTTTTTCTTTTTCAGGAGCGAGTCACCTGTAAAGCTGGGCGAATGGGTGGAAGTAAGAGTCTCGAGAACAGGACGTCTCGCATCCCTGGAGATTGAGGAGGAACCTGCGCAAGAAATCCTTGCACCAGGAGCATTCACCCAATTGTCGTTGCCCCTGAATCTCTATTTAGGCGGCGCTCCATCCTCGGAAATTTATTCTCCAAAAATGAAAACTAAGTCGAGCTTTGTTGGCTGCATACAAACTGTTATTCTAAATCGTCGTGAAGTAAGTCACGTTCCTGCAATATTTCTATTTTTAAAACTATTCTCTTTTTTTTTTTTTTTTTTGTAAATTTTATTTTCCAAACTCGGAATTTTTTTTTTTATTTTATTTATTGTTTCTTTTTTTAATAAAATAACTTTTTAAATTTTAAACAAGAAGTAGGTAATAAATAATAATAATAATAATAATAATAAATAAACTAAATTTGCAAGTTCCATATTTTTTTTCGAAAAATTCTTTTCAAAAATAGCAATTTTATTAAAAATTAATTTCCGAATGCTTTTAACTTGAATGTTTCTTTTTAAATTTCAACGCTTTCATACATTTAATTGATAGAAATTAATAGCCTTTCATTCGAAACTATATACAAAAATTTTCAACTACATTCCATTTTCAGAATATTTGTACCTACGTTTCATGAATTGTTAAAAAAAAAATTACAATTATTTCTAATTCTCATTTTGTTTAAAAAAAAACTCAATTTTTTTTTGAAAATTTTAATTATTTAATTTAGGGAATAATTTTTTTTTTAATTATATAGTGATTTGAAAATAGCTTTCGGAAAAAATTTTATTTCAAAATCACATTCAATATATTACACACTTTCCAGAAAATTTCATCCTTTAAATTCTTAACGATTCTCGATTTGAATTTTTAAACATTAAACTCTCGCCCACTTTGAAGCGAAACTCTGATCATTAACTGATAAAGAAGTGTCTGAAAGGTTCTTAATAAAAATTTTATATCTCCTTGAAAAGCAGTCAGAAAATATTTTTTAAACTCGCCAACGAGAAAATTGATATCGAGAATTGCATTATAAACTTCGAACATTGAAATTAAATTCTGCAAAATATTAATTGTAGATATTTTTAAAGATGATGTAATTATTAATCAATGATTATTATTATTAATTCAATAATATTATTAATTTATTACTAATATTATTAATTTATTATTAATATTATTTAATAACTATTATTAGTTATTAATGTACAATTAATTATTAATTATCAATTATTCATTACTAATTAATTTTTATCATCAATATAATTGATTCACAAAAAAAAAATCAAAAATTGATTAATAATTAATTCACATTTTTTTATTTATCTACAATTGATAATTAATAAGTAATTAATATTCATATATTTATTTGGAAATGACAATCATTCAATTATTAATTAATAAATAATTGATCAAGAATTTATTTATAATAGTAATGATATTAATAATTTCTTTGTCTATAATAATTATTCAATTATTAACAATAATAATTAAATTATAAGAAATTTTTTTTTGGTTATTTGGACTTGATATAAAGAACGTTTCATTGAATTGAATTAGATCTAATTAGAAATATACATAAAGCAGAAAATAGTTATTTATTTCTAAATAAATGAGCAATAAAATGAAGTACATAAAATAAAATAAATATAAAATAGATATAAATAAATATAAAAAATATAATAAAATAAAATAATAAATATCGTGTGAAATATAATTTTAAATTTATTTGTAATAAAAAAATGATAATTATTCATAAATTAATGTTTAATTAGTTAATTAGCTAATTAATGAACTTTAATCTGTAAGGTAATTAGTCTTTCGAAATTCTATTGCCGGGGGTATTATTATTACAATTTTGCATAAATTATGAATTCCCTATAATTCAATTCAAATGTGCATTAATTCAACTACAATTAATTAAATTTGTAACGAATTTAATACAAAAATAATTTCTCTGTCTGGTAAATCCAGCAGCATCTGTTTTAGAAATATTGTTTACAGATTTCGAAACATTGTATTTTTTATTATTTTCTAAATGTTTACTATTATTTAGGTATAATTTTACAAAGAATTCTATTTAAATTTTTGAGAATAATTGAATGTTTATGTGGCATTTTATTAATTTTTTTTTAAATAATTACATTCCTAAAAAGCATTTTATTATTTATGAAAATAATCGAATTCTTGCGAACGATTTTATTAGAATTTTTTTAAATAATTGAATTTCCAAGAAAAAATTTATCACTTTTCAATTTTTTATTTAATTTTTTCAAAATTCAATTGAATTTTGCAAAGAAATTTATTACAATGCCTCAAAATAATTGAATTTTCGGGAATAATTTTGTCATTTTTATGTTTAATAATTGAATTCTTTCAAAGAATTATTTATGTAAATAATTGAATTCTTGGGAAGGATTTTATTAAAATCTAAAAGAACAATTGAATTATTTAAAAAAATTTAATTTAAATTGTATTTTAAATAATTAATTCCTTTCAAACAATTTTATTAAAATATTTGAAAAAATAAAAAAAAAAAAAAAAAAATTTAATTAATTAATTAAAATATTTTTTATTTTTATATTTTTTTTTTCACAGGAAATCAATTGATTTTCTGTGAAAAATTCTAATATTTTTGTAAATAATTGAATTCTTCCAAAAAATTAAAAAAAATTTTTTTTAAATAATTGATTTTTCGAGGAATTGAAATTCAATTTTTAAGAATATTTAAATTTTTTGAGCAATTCCTGTAAAATTGTATTAAAAATAATTGAATTTCTGCTATGAATTTTATTATTTCTGAAAATAATTGAATAGTTGCAAAGAATTTTATTAAAATCTTGAAAAATAATTGAATTTCTGTGAAAAATTTTATTTTTGAAAATAATTGAATTCTTTATAAGAATTTTATAAACATTGTTTTAAATAATAAATTTTTTCGAAATATAATAAATATTATGAAAATTTTATTTTAAATAATTGAATTCTTGTGAAAAAAATGAATTTGTGAAAATAATTGAATTTTTCTATTAATTAATTTAAAATAGTTTTAAAAATAATTGAAATTCTTGGCTGAATTTTATTAATTATGAAGATAATTGAATTCTTGCGAAAGATTTTATTAGAATTTTTTTAAATAATTCAATTTTTAAGAAAAAATTTATTACTTTTAAAATAAATCGAATTTTGCAAAGAATTGTATTAAAATGCCTCAAAATAATTGAATTTTCGTGAATAATTTTGTTATTTATCCTTAATAATTGAATTCTTTTAAAGAATTATTTATGTAAATAATTGAATTCTTAGGAAGGATTTTTTTTTATCTAAAAGAATAATTGAATTATTTCAACAAAATTTAATTTAAATTGTACCTATTTTAAATAATTGATTCCATTCAAACAATTCTATTAAAATATTTAAAAATAATTCAATTCCTGTGGAAAATTCTAATATTTTTGTAAATAATTAAATTCTTCAAAAGAATTTTTAAAAAAACATTTTTTTAAATAATTGATTTTTTCGAGGAATTGAAATTAAATTTTTAAAAATAATTACATTTTTTGAGCAATTCCTGCGTAAAATTTTATTAAAAATAATTGAAATCCTGCTATGAATTTTATTATTTATAAAAATAATTGAATAGTTGCAAAGAATTTTATTAAAATTTTCAAAAATATTTGAATTCCTCAGAAGAATTTTATTATTTATGAAAATAATTGAATTCTTGTGGAAAACTTTATTTTTAAAAGTAATTGAATTTTTTGATTAATTCATTTAAAATAGTGTTAAAAATAATTGAAATTCTGGGATGAGTTGTATTATTCATGAAAATAATTGAATTATTATTTAGAATTTTATGAAAAAAATATTTAAATAATTGAATTTCTATAAAAATTGTTATTATTAGTGAAAGTAATTGAATTATTGTGAAGAATTGTATAAACATTTTGTTAAATAATTGACTTTTTCGAAATTCTTTTAAAAATTGTATTCTAATTTTGTTGTATTCCTTTGAAAATTTTATTATTTATGAAAATAATTGAATTTTAGATGAATTTTATCATTTTTAAAAAAAAAATTGAATTCTTTTGTGAAATTTTATGAAAATACTGGATACTGAAATTAATTGAATTTCGAATATTTTTTGAAATTAATTAAATTAAAAATAGTTAAAAAATAATTAAATTAAATTTGATTATAATTTTTGAGAATAATTGAAAAAAAATTGAATTCTTGCAAAGAATTTTATTAAAATTTTTAAAATAAATAATAAATTAGTAGTTAATAAATAGTAAATTTTTATTAAATAAATTTTATTAATAAATTGGTATAAATTACTATTGATTGGTAAAATTTACTAATTCAAAAGCAAATTTTAGTCACTATTTCAAATTAGAAAATATTTTTACAAATTAAAAATTAGAGAGTAATTAAATAGTAAAAAAAAATTTAGAATGAACTAGAAATTTGGAGAATTTTTTTTTTTTAATATTCTCACATTCGTTATTAAGAGGGAAAGTATAATAATCCCTGGAGAATAGGTGTGGAATTCTTAAGCGACAATAATTGTCCCATCTCTTGATACTTTAGGTCTTTGAAAGTTTAGGAAGGTGGGGTGATGGGGGGGAGGGGGCTTTTAGAACAAACGTCGTTCCATTGTGTATAAGGAGAACTCGCTCGCGATGAGACGAAAATTGAGTCAGCATGGAATAATAGAGACTGTGATTTTCAATAGGTTGGCATTCTCGCTGAAGCTTTGGGTGGAGTGAACGTAGGAAATTGCGGACATGCCTGTGAGGCTAGACCTTGCGGTGATGCTGAATGTCGTCCTATGAGAGAAAGATTCACCTGCAGATGTCGACCAGGAATGCCGCATCCATGCCCAGCGACAAACGAATATATCGCCTCAATAACTTCACCGTCAAAATCAAATGTTGTATCCCTTGGGCACATACAACAGGATAAATCTGTACCAAGCTTCACTGGCATCGAAAGCTATCTCCATTATAATGACGCTGACACCATGAAAAGGTAAGGAAAAAAAAATTGTAAATATTTTTCAAACAAAATTTCTTTCTGATGTGATTTTTTTTTCTTTCATTGTGAGCAGTGCTCGAATGCACTCGATATATTGATGATTGATTTCTGATGGTTTTTTTTACTATTATTAGAAAACTGATAAATCTATTATTACTTGTCGGGTATATTTGTTAAATAAATAAATTATTGGGAATTTCGTTTTTGATATTTGTACAAAGTTGAATTGATTTTATCAAAGTTTAAACGGATTTTAATTCAATTTTTGCGACGAATTTTTTTTAAACTTTTTTAAAAGACAAAAAAAGTTTTAAAAAGTTTAAAAAAAATAGTTTTCAAAAAGTTTAATAAAATTTGTTAATTATTTCAAAGAATTTTATTAAAATCTTTGGAAAATAATAAAATACTTTCACGGAATTTAATTAAAACTTTAATGAAAAGAATTAAATTCTAATAAATGAATTTTATCATAAATTTTGATAGTAATTGAATTCTTTGGAGAAATTTTATTGAAATTATATTGAAAATAATATTGAATTCCTGCGAAAAACTTTATTATTTATGAGAATAATGAAATAAAAAAATTAAAATTTGTAAAAATAAAAATTCAATTGTTTCAAAGAAAATTAAAATTCTTTCGAGGAATTAACTTACAATTGTAGTGAAAATAATAGAATTTTTCTAAATAATTTTATTGAAATTTTTTAATATAACTGAATTTTTTCAAGAATTTTTATTAAAATTTTTACAAGTAATTGAATTCCATCACCGAATTTTGTTGAAATTTTATTGAAAATAATTGAATATTACTCCGAAGAATTTTATAATTTATGACAAAAAAATTGAATTCTTGACAAGAATTTTATTGAAGATTTTGTAAATAATTTGTTTCGAAGAAAAATTAAAATTCTTTTAAGAAATATAGTTAAAATTGTGTTTAAAATAATAGAATTTTAAAAAATTATTGAAAATAATTGAGTTGTTTTGTAGAATTTCATTAAAATTCTATTGATAAGAATTGAATTCCTGCGAAGAATTTTCGTTATTTTTTTAAATAATTGATTTATTTTAAGGAATTTTATTAAATTTCTTTTTTAAATAATTGAATTCTGTCAAGACTATTTATTGCAATTGTAATAAAAATAATTGATTTCCTATTGAAAAATTTTATTATTAATGAAAATAGAAAATAATTAAATACCTGTAAAAAATGTTATCAAAATGTTTTAAAATATTTGTATTTGATATATGAATTTTTAAAAAAAATTTTAAAATAATTAGATTTTTCAAGGAATTTAATTGAAATTGTACTAAAATAAATTGAATTTTCTTAATCAATTTTATTAGAATTTTTTAAAGTAATTGGATTCTTTCAAGGAATTTTATTAAATTTTTTAAAAATAATTAAATTTTGTATCTTATGAAAATGATTCAATTCTTGCAACAAATTTTTTGAAAAGAATTGAATTCTTTCGGAGAATTTTATTAAAATTTTAGAAAATAATTGTTTTACTAGAAAAACTGAAAATTCTGTCGCAGAATTTAGTCAAAATCGTGTTGAAGATAAATAAATAATTAAATTTCAATAAAAAATGGTGTCAAAAAATTTTAATTTAATAAATATTGGCAAATTATAATTACGGAAGATTAACATTATTTAATTATATAATTATTTAATTATTAAATTATTAAATATTTTCTCGACATTAAATTATTAAACATTTTACTGCTATCAAATTATTAAATAACGTAATTATCAATTACATACAGAATCTGATTAAGTAATTAACGTAAGGATTTTGTTTTCTCTTTTGGAGAAGAAACAAAATTTTCTTATACAAGATTTGACTTAAAAGGAAATAAAAATATTGAATAAAAGAAAATAAAATTACATTTAATGCTGAAAGGATTTATTCAACCCTGTATTTATTTTTTCGATAAATTCAATATAGATGTAATGTTATACGTATAATATAGAATCAATGAGAATGAACCCTTTTATTTAATTTTGTCTACCATTTGGTTTAAGCTCAACAATTTCTTTCACGCCCTCATCTCTACACTCTTGATGGTTAATTAGATATTTTATTCAGCTGGAAAATTGCTCTGTCTCCTTTGTGTTAATTTAATTAAATGTTATTTATCTTGTTTTATAGAAAATTATATATTAATTTCAATAATTACAACAATTACAATAATTTCAATTTAATTACAATTACAATAATCAATAATAAGTTAATTTAATAATTATTTTTCTTTAGTAATATTTATTTTGTTTTTTTTCCTATTTTAATAAATTGTATTTATTTTATTTATATACCTATTCATTTCATTTTCATTTATTTAATTTTTATTTATTTTATTTGCATTTATTTTACTTACTTGTCATTTATATTTACTTTTCGTTTTATTTTCCTTATTTTACTTACATTTATTTTATTATTATTAATATTTATATTTCTTTTATTTGCATTTATTATATTTATATTTCTTTTGTTTGCAATTATTTTCTTTACATTTATTTATTTTATTAATTACACTGTTTTAGTACTAAAAAAGAATTTTTTCAATTTTTAAAAAAAATAATTTCCATGTAGAGAGAGATTATAAATAAGTAACTTAATTAGCTAATTATCTTGTACGTTATTAAATCGCATTTAAGATCCAATTTGAGGCTGTTCTTTTAAATTAATTAAAGATAATTAATAAGATTACTACCTACCTTTTTTTTCTTTTTTGGAAAATATGGAATATTTATTTATAGTCTAAAAGAAAAAGAATTTACTGTGAATAATTTATTTGTCTTTTATCGAATATTGAAAAAATATTTTACATAAATATTTTTTTGCTTTTTTAGGATTATCAGCTACAGAGTGGATATAAACATGAGGTTCAGGACAAGTAGCAGTAATGGACTTTTACTATGGAGTGGCCGACAATCGGATCCTTTGGAGGACGAGGATCCAAATAATGATTTTTTGTCACTCGCTCTTGATCAAGGATTTCTCACATTATCGTACAATCTTGGATCGGGTGAAGCTGAAGTTAGATATAATCTCACTCGATTAGATGACGATTTGTGGCATCGTATCAGAGCCGTCAGGTGAGATTTTCTTTTTTGATTCTTGTTAGAATTTTATTATTTTTTAATTATAATTATTTTTGTTTGTTAACTTCTTTCACATTTTTTATTTTATTTTTTGTTATTTTATTTTTTGAATTTTATTTTTGAATTTTGTTTTTGAATTTTATTTTTTTTTTAGATTCTTATTTGAATTCTATTACTATTTTTAATTATTGTATTCTTTTGTTATATTTTTTGGATTCTTATTAGAATTTTATTACTATTTTTAATTATTGTATTTTTTGTTATTTTATTTTTTGTTTTATTTTTTAGATTCTTATTAGAATTTTATTACTATATTTTTAATTATTGTATTTTTTTGTTATTTTATTTTTTTCAGATTTTTTGTTAGAATTCTTTTATTTTTTTATTCTCTAATTTTTATTGTATTATTACTTATTATTTATTTATTCATTCATTTGTTTATTTATTTAGTAACAACGCGCATACAAAAAAATAAAATTATATTTTATAGATATATTTCATTGTCAAATATAATTTAACATTTTTTTTAAAATACTATATTTTTATTATTTATTTTTAACAATTGTAACTTTTTTGTTACAATTTCGTCTATATTTTCTCTTTTTCATATTTATTTCAATAGTTCCATAAATATTTTTATATTTCTTCATTTATTTCAATATTTCTATACATATATTTAATTTCATAGATATTTAATTCAATATTTATTTCAAAAATGTGACTGACGTTTATTATTCCCTTTTTTTCAGGAATGAACAATGGTCGTCCCTTATTGTCGACAGTGGACCTGGAGTTTCTGTCTCATCTCCCGGTCAGTTACGACAATTGAACACCGATACGGGTCTCTTTATAGGTACGAATAATTTTTCAATTGTTTAAATTTTTAATTATTGAATTTTCAGTTTATCTCATTTTTTAATTTCTCAATTTTCTCTTTACTTAGTTTTCCAAGTAATTTTCTATTTACTTTTATTCTTAATTCAGTTACTTAATTATTCAATTTTAAATAAATTACTTAATTTTCTAATTACTCAATAATTACTCGATTTTTTAATTTCCTAATTTTCAAATTACTTAGTTTTCTAATTTATTTACCAATTCAAACTTAATTTTTGAAATTTATGTAAAATATTTTTGTTTTATTCTCTATTTTTATTTAATATTATTTACAATATTTTTATTTATTATTTTTTACAATATTACTTTTAATAAAATATTTAATATTTTTACACATAATATTTACGAAAAAGAAAATAATTTTATTTTTCTCGTTGACACTTTTGACGATTACTTTAATATATAAATTTTTTTTTCTAATAAAGGTGGAGCGCCCGATATCGTAAGGACGACAGGCGGAAGATACACAAAAGGCATTGTGGGTTGCATCAGCGATCTTGTGCTCGATTCAGATTTTTCTGTTGCTCTTTCACAGCCGGAATCTGCAACTAACACTGAATCCTGCATCCCTTGAGTAAGTCCTTTTGCTCCAGTCGATGGAAATCTCGGGAAATGGAGCTAGGATATAAATATATAAATAATAATAATAATAAAAAAGAAAAATGTCTAGTGGTGGATCTCCTCGAAACAAGTCGCCAGTGACAAACACAAAAACAAACGGAAAAAGAAAAACCAAAGCGAGAAAAAGGCGATGTTTCAAGTTTGTACAGATTCCCTCCTTTAAAAAAAATCCAAAACGGTGGCCATCCCCGTCACCAGTGAATGACAAAAAAAGTGTTGTTACCAAAGGATGGACTCGAATCTAGTCAGCGAAAATGGTTTGTTAATATCATATTTATCCCTTTAATAATTTTCTTTGAAAAAAACACTTTCCGGGAACATTTTTCTTTCCTCTTCTCTAGAATCGAATTGAGAGAAAATAGATTGATTAAATCTATCGAAATTAATTTTAGTTAATTTTAACTGAAATTAATTTCCGTTTCGAGTAAAATTTATTTTTGTGTTTATTAAATTTTGGTTAAAATCGAAATTATTTTCGTTTAGAGTATAAATTCATTTCACTTTCAACTAAAATTTATTTTGGTTAGAATCGAAATTTATTTTGGTTAGAATTAAAATTAATTTCGGTGTCGACTAAAATTTATTTTCCTTAGAGTTGAAATTTATTTTGGTTAGTAATGAAATTAATTTCATTTTGAATTAAAATTTATTAAAAAAAAAAAAATTAATAAAATGAATTTTTGATGGGAAGAAAATTCAATTCGACGAAAATCATTTCGTTTTTCTAAGTTCCTGTAGGGAGAAACATATCATGAGAAACTTTTTCACTGCCGCTCGAGCATATCTCTCTCGTTAATAGTTTGAATGCGCAAGAAAAAAAAAGCTCAGTGGTTCTATTCTAAAACTTAGCTCTAAGGTCTTTTAAATATTTAATTTCATCCTCTTGTTTTGTTTTATTTTATTACAAAGTCGAAAAGATTCTTCTAGACAAAGAGTGCCTTTTTTTAAATCTCCCTTGAAACGAAAAGTTTCAAAAAGCAAAAAAAAAAAGAAAACGAGATCAAAAAAGTCCCAAAATGTAAAAAATCGAAATTTCTAAATTTCTAAATTTCTAAATTTCTAATTTTCAAATTTCCAAAATGGAAATTTGAGAAGTTTCAAATTTTTTGAGAGATTACTGTTACAAAAATTCAATGAAAAATTTTGGTTACATAAACAGAATGGAAAGGAAAATGTTACCTAGAATTAAGTGTGAAAATTTTATAGAAGGAAAAAAAGTGCTAGTTGGCCTAAAAAAAAAATCATTGAGAAATAATCATTTTACGTCAATTTTTCTCTCCTGTCCGACTAGAATATTTTCCCGGAAAAATTGTAAATATCCCCCCCCCTCCCCAAAAAAATACCCTTAAGCGGAAAAAAAGAAACAAAGTTCAATTGCCATCCTTACATATCGAAAATTTTTTAAATCTCTATAGTTTTCGAAGGAAAATCACATTCTCTATCTAAGCTTTCTCTGAATTATTATTATTATTGCAAAGAAAAAAAAAACTTTTCATGATTCGAGTCGGACCGTATGAATGTGTGTAAAGATTTGCAAGGGACGGACCAAAAAGTAAATGATGAATTAAATACCGCCATGAAATCCTTGCATTAGGCTACTTAGTCGATTGTTTACAAGAAAAAAAAAGGAACCGAAATAATAATTATAATCAAAAGGAATTAATTTTCAATGGAAAGCGTTAATGCTTGTAAACAAGTTTTAAAAAGCTCCTTTCTTTAGAGGGGAAAAAAAATATTTTCGAGGAAAATTATATTATGGACTTTATTCTTTTTTCAACTTATAAACTGAATTTACATTTTTTCACAATTTGTTCCTACTTGAATTTTCTTTTCATCGCATCTGCATTTAATTAAAGTTCTATTCAATCGAATTTTAATTTTCTATTTTTTAATCTTATTCGTTTTATTTTCTTTTTTTTATTCTTATTTCTATTACTATTTTTTAATTTTTTAAAATTTTAATTCTACCTATTTCTATTTTTATTTAATTTTATTTATTTTTATTCTTATTTCTTTTTTTTATTTTCATTTTTGTTCTAAATTTTAAAACTTTATTCAACAGTTTATTGAACTGTTGAATAAAATCTTAAATAAAATGAAATAAAATGAAATAAAATTATTAAATAAAATAAAGTAAATATAATTAACTAAAATTTACTTTGATTTCAATTAAAATTTATTTTTGATTAAAATCGAAATTTCGTTTTTAATTAAAATTCATTTTTGTTAGAATTAATTTCGATTTTAACTAAAGATTATTTTCCCTAGAATCGAAATTTATTTTGGTTACAATTAATTAATAATAAGAAAATAAAAGAAAAAATCCAAATTTTCCTCGCAATATTTTATTTTCAACATGGATCCCATTCTATTTTACTAACGAGTCCTTAAAAAAAAGAAAAAATCTCGGTTTCCATTGATCAGAAAATAAAAAAGCCAAAGCATCGGGTTTTTTTTCAAAAATAAAAATACTGATCAGATAAATCGCAGGTCAATACGTATTCACATCATATCTAGAAATATAAAAGCGGAATAATAAAATAAAAAATTCTAGATGATAAAGGTAATAAACAATTGGGTGGTTTTTACTTTTAAAGGCATTAAAAAAAAGGAAACCTCTTGGTTTTAATTATAAGTAAAAAACAACAAAAAAAAGAAAATAAAACTGGTTTTTAAAAACGTTTTTATCACCCATGACTGATGATAAAAAAAAAATTTTGATTCATCGTTATATATGCATAGGTATATAACGAAAAGTTATTTTAAAGCCAAGGTGTAAGCACTATTTCCAATTACATCGTAGAAAGCAAAAAAAAAAAAAAAAAAATATGGGCTTAGTCAATTTTGTACGAGTGTTATTTTCTGGAATCTATATTATAAATATATATAAAATATACACACAAAATATTATAAATAATATACATATAAATATATTTACACTGAGACCTCGATCAGTGATCACGTAATTAGAAAAAAAAGAGAAAAAGAAAGGAGAGACAAGAGAGAAAGGAGAAAAAAAATGAGAGAAAGAAAAAACGAATTAAATTTGAGAATATTGTTTAATTAACGAAATATTTGTTTTTAATTATATTGATAATTATGGTGAAACTTGGTGTAAATTTAGAATTCGAAAAAAAACTTTGAACGAATTCTTTTTTTAACTCACGACTTTGTGTGTGTGTGGGTGTGTAAAGTGGAGCTTTTTTTAAATTGTGCAAATGTGTACGTTTGTGTATATAATAAGTTCTCTCAATGATGACTTGAATTAGAAAATTTCCATGAAACTAAAAATTTTATTTTTATTCTTTTACTTTATTATATTATTTTGTTCTTTACTTTAAAAAATTTTTTTTTTATACATTTTTTTCAATATATTTTTTATTATATTTGTCATTTAAAAAAAGTTCCAGCGCAATTTTTAAAAATATTTTTTTGTATACTCTTTTTACATCTACATTTTTTTTAATTAAAAAATTTGTTTGAAAATTTTTTTTAAATATTTTTTTGTACATTCTTTATACGCATCTATTTTCACATTTTTATTTTCTCCTTTTTTGATTGTTTTAAATTTATATTTTCTCTTTTCTCCAATTTTTTTATTTTCGACATTCGTTAAGGTTTTGAATTTTCGAAAAATTCTTTTTTTTGCTGAAAATGTTACTTTCATTTTTTGCAATTTTGAAAATTATATTAAAAAATAATTAATTTTAAAATTACTATATTTATATTTAAATGAATTAATAATAAATTAACAGTTTTGATAATTTTATAGTTTATATTTAAATTGATCTAAATATATAAATATAAACCATTCAATTACTAAAATAATTCATCAATTATTAATGCATAATTAATTTAAACTATTTTTAACTATCGATTATTATGATTTAATAATTAAAATAGTTAATAACTATTAAATAATTGTACTAAATTATATTAATTAATTTTTAATTACCAATTATTAAATTATTAAATTATTTAATTATCTAATTATTTAACTCTAAATTAACAAATACTAATTAGTATTAGTATTTTAATTAGTATTAGTAGTTAGTAATAACTAATTAGTAATTACTAATTACTAATTAATAATCACTAAATAATAATTAATAATTAATAATTAATAATTATTAATTATTAATTATTAATTAGGAAATAGTATTAATTAATTAATAGTTATTAATTAGTAATTAGTATTAAATAATTATCAGTTATTAATTAATAATTAGTAATTATTATTTAGTAATTATTAGTTAGTAATTATTAGTTATGAAAGATTAATTATTAAATAATAAAATTATTTAATTGTTAAATAAATAACTATTATTGAATAGTAAGTAACTAAAATAGTTGATAAATTTTAAATAGCAGTTATTTTTTTAACAGTTTATTTTTTATATTCAGTTTTTTTTTTGTAACTGTAAAACTTGACAGAATTAAAAATTTTTTTCTTAGTTATTTATTGTGGATAATTGAACTCTGCGCAAATTTTGCAGTTCAAGTCTCATTGAGAATTGTAGGAATATTGTACAGATCGCATAATCAGATTAAAATTATATAAGAAACAATGTACTGCATATAATGTATGTGTTAAATAACGAAATGGCGTGATATTAGCGATACACTCAATTCTAATAGATAATTATTCATTTTCAATATTTTTTTTTAATTTTCTTTTCTTTTTTTCTTTATTTAACATTTTTTTTACCAATTTTTTGTTTCTCTATTATCTATTCTCTTCTTATTTCAATTTTTGGCTCCTTTAATTTTTTTTCCATTTTTGAAAAAAAAGTGAAAACAAACAAAAAGTTTGTCGAGAACAGATTCAAATCCAATTTTCCAAAATATGGAAATTTATTTCTTCATTTCGGAAGAATTTGAATAACTTAAAAATCATGAATTTGAGAAAAATAAATTTCTCGACAAATTTTAAGGTTTTTTTTTATTATTTGTTAATATTTTGTTTATTTTTTTTGGGCGCGTTTTCGAAAAAATAGTCAATGTGTGTGATAATATCACAGTAAATGAGCAAAAAAGAGAAAAAAAAATTTGGAAGGCGAAAAAAATGTGAGAACGATAGAGAAAGAGAGAAAAAGAGAGAAAATTCGATAAAATAGCGAAGTATGTCAGTTCAGTTGGGAGCTGAATAATAAATTTGTTGTCTTCTTCGAAAGAGGTAAAGCGCATCCTTTTACATCTGTCGTACACACGACTCTGTCAGATGCAATATTTCTAATGAATAAAAAGCGCGCGTTTCTCGTCGTGGTGCTGGATTTTTCTATTTCTATTTATATTTATGTTTTGCAAATCAGAGACGAAAAAAAAAATTGTATACGAATGAAAAAAGCGATTTTTCCCCCATATATGAAAAAAAAATGGGAATTAATGATGAAAATAAAAATGAGAATTGAAAAAAGAAATTATTAAACAATCACGCAAAGTTCAGTCTCTGAATTTGCTACTAATTTACAGGCAAGACGAAATTATTAGAAAAATATTCAATTGTCTCTAGAAAATTTTTTTTATATTTTATTTTATTGTTTCAGAA